AAAAAAAAGAAAATGAAAAATGTAAAATTCAATCAGTGATGCAGGCTACTGGCGCGCAGTGATTATGGTGATGATGCGGCTATTTGAAAAAAAAAATCCGAGCTCCCAGCATCGGTTGAACCAGTTATCGTCCTTACAGAAGCTGAATGCTTTATCACTAATCAACCGGAGTCTCTCGAGAGCGCGGCCATAGAACAAGGTTTAGATGTGACAGACTCTCCTCATATACTGCTAGGATTAGTTTGTCCATATGGGAGACATGTGTTGATCAGTGACAAAGGCTACTTGGTGACTTAACGCGAAAACTCATTTTATTGGTTGTTAAATTTACAATGATTGATACATGATTCATCAGAAATTTTCCAAGATTTGCAGTGAACTCAAAAGCAGTGTAATTACATCGATCGATGTGCGCGATGCAATTATATTATTTCCATATGTCCAGAGAAATCAATGTAGTGTGCTTTGGGCCGCAACTATCGTTTTTGTCGTTTTGTAGAAACAAGTGGCTGAACACCGTGAAATGCGATTGGCAGCCGAGAAGAGACTAAGTGCACTTAAAATGGATGTTGACAAAAAGAAGGAAAAAGAGCAGAACGAAATGCTCGGAGAGTTGAAGTCGGCAATCAAAGAAGAGTTTGGCACATTGAAATCACAGGTATGTGAAAACCGCCGACCGGTTAGCTCAGTGGTAGAGCGCCGGACTAGCGTGTGAGAGGTCGCGGGTTCAAACCCCGGCCAGACCAACACTCTGGGTCTTTCAATAACTGGGGAGAAAGTGCTGCCTTTGTAATAACATCTGTAAATGGTTAGACTTTCTAGTCTTCTCGGATAAGGACGATAAACCGTGGGCCCCGTCTCACAACTCTTCATAATTAATTCTGTGGGACGTAAAAGAACCTACACACTGATCGAAAAGAGTAGGGGACGGAGATCCCGGTGTGGTGGTCTATCTCTCATCTGATGGTTAAACGCTCGGAGATATTGCTGCACAAGCTACTCTGAAATCCGAGGGTAAATAAAGTAATGTATGTAATGTATGTATGTGAAACTTCTAGCGAGGGTTAAGATCTTTTTAATACGACATTGTTATAATAAAAAGAAACAACTTAAACAGTGTCTAGAAGTCTTGGACGTCGTATGTATGGTATCATTCTAGACGAAGAAAGGCTTATTTGACAAAGGTAAGATAGGAAGTAGGACTTTTGGCAAATACTCTCGTGTTATCATTTTCTTGTAGAAAAAAGTGGCTGAGCACAGTGAGAAACTATTAATAGCTGACAAGAGGTTAGCTGAACTTGAAGCTAATATGGATACAAAGAGGGAAACAGAGAATAAAGAAATGGTTAAGCAGCTGAAGTCAGCAATGAAAGAAGAAATCGCTGCATTGAAATCAAAGGTACGTGAAACGTACAGCATGTGTTACGTGTGTTGTAGCGCGGTCCTCAATGAAATATTTATATGATTTTAACTCGAGTAAGTAAGCTGCTCCAGTTGTCTAAAGATTGAACGCTTTTTTATTACTCGACTAAGTTAGCTCAGAGAGTCAGTAACTAAGTCAACCAATCTGACTGCTCTATTGCCGATCGAGGAACTGTCCCAATTATTCCGTTGTAGTTTTATGGCTTACTTTCTAAAAGAATTAACTTCCACGTCAAAGATTCTTTTTCTTTTCTTCAACTCTGTTGTCCTTTTGCTCTCTTGAGGTTAACAGTAATAGTGAGGTATCTCTAAACGTCTTCAGTCCAGTAACAAATCTCTCATTAACTGAGCTTGCTCGGGACCGTTATGGTAGAATATTTGTCCTTCTTCTTTGTGCGGACATCGCTGCGCTCGTTTCGTATTGACAAGACCGCAAGTCGTTATACTCATAGTATGGCTCTCACGCTTGGTCAATAAGGATACATTCTGTCCAGTAATAGAACGGCAGCTTGTCCATTAGTTTTGGACATAGCTATGATGTTTTTATTTTAAACTCCATCGAACTTAGCTCAGGTTAATGAGTTCGCTAAGGTGAAAAAGTACTATTTCTTATCCACTGGACTCTGTAGTAACTGCCTTTAGCCGATATGTTATTTATATTCCAGGTTTCCTGTGAAAAGAAAACAAATGACGCACGTGAAGAAATGAAGCAGCTTAAGTCCAAGGTAGGTTGCGTAGCTGCACTTGATTTTGGGAGGAATAGTAACACAAATTAATATGCAGAAGGCGACTCTACTTGTGTTAAATATCCAGCAGTCTCAAGTGTGCACACCTGATGCAATTTACTTAATACACACAATATTGCACTAACTGTTCCCAGGCTTGTTTCCATTTGTTTTTTAACGACAATCTTTAGAAATTAATTTATACAATTTTTGTTACAGATGGATGAAATGAAAGTCCAAAGGGATTTTTATTTGGTATGTACGATCTATGTCATGTTAAGATTTTGAAGACGAGTAGGCGAAGATTGTGTGCAGCAAACGACATCACCAAGGGAAGCCATGTGGCCATTATATACACAAAAGACTGTTTCGCGGAAGTCAATCTTCACTGAAAGAACATGAGACATAGAGCTGAACGAAAAGTCACGTGAC